CCATTCATCTGAGGCCTATAAGCTGTAGAATTCTTGTGTTTGATCTTGAATGTTTCACAGATTTCTTTCATCAAGTCGCTGTTGAGATTGTAACCATTATCAGTGATGATTGATTCCGAAATTCTGAATCGCCAAACAATGTGGTCGCGGATGAAATCTGCCACAACATTCTTAGTTATTGCTTTATATGATGTTGCTTCGACCTATTTGGTGAAGTAATCAATTGCCACTAGAATGAATCTATGCCCATTTGATGTGGCAGGCTCGATAGGCCCAATAACATCCATTCCCCAAACGGCAAATGGCCATGGTGAACTTGTTGCAGTAAGCTCGTTTGGAGGCATTTTTATCATATCTGCATGTATCTGACAGCGATGGCATTTCCAAACATATTTGATATAGTTTGTTTCCATAGTCATCCAAAAATATCATGCCCGGAGTATCTTTTTTGCTAAGACAAAATCGTTCATGTGCGGCCCGCAGGTCCCTACATGCACTTCGTCCAATAGCTTGGATGCTTCCTTTGCCTCGGCACATCTTAGTAGACCCAAATCGGGAGTCCTCCTGTACAGGATTCCTATTCCTCCACTGTGAAAGAAGTTGTCAGATAACCTATGAAGTGTGCACTTTTGAGTAGCGTTGGCAAGTTCTGGATATTCCCCCGTTGTCAAGTACTCCTTGATTTCATGGAACCATGGTTTTTCATCTGCTTCTTCCTCAACGTGGGCGCAATAAGCTGGCTGATCATGAATCTTTACTGGGATGGGATCAATGAAATTTGTATCTGGATGCTGGATCATGGACGATAAAGTAGCTAATGCGTTAGCAAACTCGTTCTGGATTCTGGGGACGTGCTGGAACTCTATCTTTATGAACCTTTTCCTTAACTCCTGTAAGTGATGCAAGTAGGGGAGTATTTTAGAGTTCTTGGTTTCCCACTCTCCTCGAACCTGATGTATGAGCAAGTCCGAATCCTCGATCACTAGTAACTCCTGAACATTCATGTCAATGGCCATTTTGAGCCCCAAGATACAGGCTTTGTACTCGGCCATATTGTTGGTGCAAGGGAACCTGAGCTTGGCGGATACCGGGTAATGTTGACTGGTTTTTGACACTAGGACCGCTCCTATGCCGACTCCTTTGAAATTTGCCGCTCCGTCGAAAAACAACCTCCAACCATCATAGGACTCCGCATTATCTTCTCCTATGAAAGATACCCTCCAACGTTTTTAGGGGCTTGTATTCTCCATCCACAGTATTCTCGGCGAGATGATCTGCCAATGCTTTCCCTTTAATTGCTTTCTAGGTCACATAAACAATATCAAATTCACTTAGCAGGATCTGCCATTTGGTGAGCTTGCCGGTAGGCATGGGCTTCTGGAAGATATACTTCAGAGGGTCCATTTTGGATATGAGATAAGTAGTGTAAGCACAAAAGTAATGCCTTAACTTTTGCACGACCCAAGTCAAAGCACAACAAGTGCGCTCCAAAAGGGAATACCGGGCCTCGCATGGTGTGAACTTCTTACTGAGATAGTAGATGGCTTGCTCCTTTCTCCCTATTTCATCATATTGTCCCAGAACACAACCGAATGCTCCATCCAATACCACAAGGTAAAGCAATAGGGGTCTTCCTGGCTCAGGTGGAACCAAGACCGGTGGCGTTGACAAGTATTCCTTAATTCTATCAAAATCTTTATGACGGTCATCAGTCCATTTGGTAGCAGCGTCCTTTTCCAACATTTTGAAGATAGGTTCATAAATGACCGTGGACTGAGCTATGAACCGGCTGATATAGTTGAGCCTCCCCAGGAAACTCATCACGTCCTTTTTGTTCTTTGGCGGTGGCAATTCTTGGATAGCTTTGAGCTTTGATGGATCTAGTTCTATTCCTCTATGACTTACGATGAATCCCAATAATTTTCCAGCAGAAACCCCGAATGCACACTTGGTGGGATTCAGTTTCAGATTGTACCTCCTTAGTCTGTTAAAGAACTTTCTTAGGTCTTCCATGTGATCCTCGGCTTTCTTGGATTTGATGATGACATCATTCACATATACCTCGATCTCCTTGTGTATCATTTCATGAAAGATGGTAGTCATGGCTCTTATATAGGTGGCACCAGCGTTCTTCAAACCGAATGGCATCATTTTGTAACAGTACATTCCCCATGGCGTGATGAAAGCCGTTTTCTCTGCATCTCCCTCATCCATCCATATCTGATGGTACCCAGCAAAACAATCAACAAAAGACTGCAACTCATGCTTGGCGTAGTTGTCAATTAGAATGTGTATGTTTGGTAAGGGGAAGTCGTCTTTGGGGCTACACCGGTTAAGATCCCGGTAGTCGACACAGACTCTAACCTTTCCATCCTTTTTTGTCATTGGCACAATGTTGGCTAACCATATCGGGTACTCTACTACCCTGAGAACCTTGGCTTTGACTTGCTTGGTAACCTCTTCTTTGATTTTCAAACTCATGTCGGGTTTGAATTTCCTGAGCTTCTGTTTTACCGACGGACATGTGGGATCTGTTGGCAGTTTGTGAGCTACAACGGATGTACTGAGGCCAGTCATATCATCATATGACCAGGCGAATATATCCTCATATTCCTTTAGGAATTCCGTGTACTCTTTCTTTTTTGATGGTGACAGGTGAACACTGATGCGCGTTTCTTTGACATTCTCTGCATCTCCCAAATTAATGACCTCAGTTTCATACAAGTTGGACTTAGGCCTATTCTCAAAATTCTCAACCTCTCTGACGACCTCTTCTGGTACATCATCCTCTTCTGAATCCATATCCATTTGTTGCATTGTCTCGTTGTAAGTCACAATCGTTGGTTCATCGTCAAGGCAAGTAATAGTAATGTTGTATAAAGTAAAGTGAATGACAGAGAAGAAAATAATAAGAGCGAGATATATAATAAACTGAAATGCTTTGATTGAATTCACAGTTGTTTTGGAAGATAGAGCTCTTTTTCAAAATTAAAGACAATGCAGAAATAAAATCAGCTAGTAAAAGTAAGAATGTGATGCATAGTGCTTTTGTTTAGCCTTGCTACCCCGAAGCCTTCCGGTCCCTGGTGGTTCTGATTGACCAATTGTTGAGGTGTTCTCCTCGGTTCACAGCTTGTATAGAAGGGCCTTCCTCCCCTTCCTCCTTGAAGATAACATAGCAGTCCATATCATCGTCTTCCAGAAATAGATTCTTCATGACTACCAATGCTTCATCTTCCTCTGTCCCATATATAGTATCTGCTAGATGGAAAATCTGCTCCATGAGAGGTATCGGATGCTCCAATGGATAGTAGGGGCCGCGCCATGGTGGCGACCAGTGATTGAACTCCTCCCAAGTGTACTCATACCCCAAACCAAATGTAGTACCATGTTTATTCAGTTTGATGGGTTTGGGGATTCCCTGGAGGTTTTTGCCAAGTCCCTTTCCAGGTTCGTACCCACACCAATTCAGGATACTTTCAATCTTGTTATCCCACCATTTATCCTTGTCTACAGTGTTGACTCGCTCGATGTGGTGGTATGTTTCTTCGCCTATTCTTCTCTTGCCTCCGATCATCGGGATGGTTTGGCGACTGTATATAGGGTTGCTACCATCTCCATGAATGATCACTTCCTGATGATTCCATTCAAATTTTACAATTTGGTGCAAGGTTGATGCCACAGCCCCAGCGGCGTGGATCCAGGGTCATCCTAGCAGTAAATTGTAGGAAGTCGGGACGTCTATAACTTGAAAGTCCACATCGAACTAGGTAGGTCCCATCTGCAAGCACAGGCTAATTTCCCCAATGGTGGATCTTTGGGACCCATCGAAAACTTTAACATTGTTAGCTCCATCTTTGATCTAGTGCAAACCTTTCCCCAATGTCCTGAGAGTTATTAGTGGACAAATGTTAAGGCTGGATCCTCCGTCAACCAAGATTCTAGTGATGAAATAATCTTCGCATTGCACAGTGATATGCAACGCCTTGTTGTGATCAGCCCTTCTGGTGGTAACTCATCTTCGTGGAAGGTGATTTTGTGGCTTTCCAGCACTTGTCCTACCATATTCGCCATTTCTCCTCCCGTTTTGTTGCTGGGAACATAAGCTTCACTCAATATTTTCATTAAGGCATTTTTGTATGCCTCAGAGCTTTGAAAAAAGCCAGGGTGGAAATCTACGCTGGTGTTTTGTTCAGTTGCTCAACGACCGAGTATTGTTTGGCCTGTATCTTTCTCTAAAGGTCATCGGGTCCAGTTTCGACAGACCGTCCAGAGTCTTGCTTGTTGGACTCAGCTAAATGTTCTGGAGTGTATATCCTGACGGTTCTGGTCATTCCCTGTGCGGTGATCGCTTCTCCAGTATGCGTCTTCCCTTTTCTCCTAGCTTTCGTTGTGTAATCCCAAGGTATGGCGTTTGAATTGAATGGCGTTACTTCTGTCATGGAAACTGGAATAGGCATCCTTTGGGGTAACACAACAACTTCAAACGGTGCAGGTGCTTTTGGGATCCCAAACTCAACCTCAATTGGCCTCGGCGCCTTTGCAGGAGGTGCTTCGAACTCGAGCGGCACAGACACATTTATCTCATCGCCCTCAGAAGGCTGGATCTGAACAACAATGGGATTGAGGGTGACCGTCGGCTTCTTAGGCTCATCTCCTTCAGCAATCAACCCGATTGACCCTTTGGGGTCCCATTCATCCTCAATCTCGATCATATGAATGTCTCCACCCTTGTTGTCAGGCATAGGGTTGTTGCGGACATTGGGAACGGGCTCCTTTGCTATAATGACCTTATTGTCAATCAAGGTCTGAATCTTGTCTTTCAACGAGCGACACTCGTCGATGGTATGGCCTTTCATCCCGGAATGGTATGCGCAGGTTTTGTTCGGGTTGACCCATTGGGAGGGATTTTCTGGAGTTATGGCTGGGATATTGGCAACATAACCGGCTGATTTAAGTCTTTCATATAGTTGGTCAATTGGTTCAACAATGACGGTATATTATCTGGGAGGTCTGCGGTCGAAATTTGGTCTGGGTCGAGGAAAGCTTTGGCGAGTAGGTGGTGATGGGGAATGAGAAGGTTGGGAGTTATATGCTTGGTACACAGGTGCAGGTTGGGAATATCTTGGTGAAGTGGGTTGATATATGGGTGGTGGAAGTGATTGGTAGGCGGGTGGTGGAATTTGGTATGTGGGTGAGGGTGCTTTGTAATTTTGGGAAGGTTGATATGTGAGTGGAGTTGAGGGATATGTTTGGTATTTCATAGGGGATTTGGTTCTTTGCGCAGCCATTAGAGAATTCACGTCCCATTTCTTTGTCGTGACACCAGATTGTAAGGCCTTGTTGGTGGCCTGTAAAGCTTCGAGATTAGTGACCATACCATTCTTGATACCTTCTTCAATCCTCTCTCCCAACTTAATGATGTCGGAGAATTTTTGACCCTGTATCAGCATCAGCCTTTCATAGTATTGCGGATCCTGAGCCCGGACAAAAAACCTGTTCATATGCTCTTTCTGTGGGTTTCCTCTTCAAATTTTGAATGTATAACACATCTGGTGCGTTCTTTGTGTTGAACCTGAATCGGTCCATAAAATCGGATGCCATTCTCACCCAACTTGTCCATTTCTTTGAATCCTGGCTGATGTACCAAGATAAGGCATCGCCTTTCAGGCTCCTCATGAACAGCTTCATGCGGATCTTCTCGTGCCTTCCAACTCCTACCAGCTTATCACAATACATTCTTAGATGGACCTTGGGATCACCTGTACCATCGAACATCTCGAACTTGGGAGGTTTGTATCCCTCCGAGAGTTCAACATCTGGCTGAATACAAAGATCTTCGTAGTTCAACCCCTCAACGCCTTTGCTACCTTCGACACCCTGGACCCGGCTGGCTAACTTCTTGAGTTCAGCGGCCAAATTCCTGATAAGGGAGTCTTTATCATCTGAGTCAGATGCACCTGATATTGGCTGGGTATAGTGGGGTATAGTGTCCACAAAGATAGGAGTGTTATGGAGGTGGTTGTTTGTGGTGTTTTGCGGTTCAGGAATGAGCACTGGAGTGTTATTGCATGTGTTGTAGGCTTGGGTGTGAACAGGTTGTACTGGTGGTTGTGGGGTGTTCTATGGAGGTGCGGGGTTCTGGGCGTTAATATCATGAGCGGCAAGAGTGATAGATAGGCTTGCCAAGTTCCGGACTTGGTCCAATTCCTCCCGAAATTTCAGCAATGTCTGCTCAAGATGAGCAGTTCCCTTGGTAATTGGAGTATTCTGAGAAGTCTCCTCAATTTCCTTTCTAGCATTTGCATCTCCCATTTTGTTCCTGTTTCTGATAGGACTTGGAGGAGGAGGTGGAGGGCCCTTGGATCTCGTACTGTTTGATGATGGTGCCAGAATGCACGAACTAACCTTTGGGGGGGGGAATAAAAATAAAAGAAAAACAAAAAGGTAAAAAGTTAGTGTGGATTCTGAGAAAGAAAATATTGCGATATTTAAACACGTCGTGCAGGAATATAAGTCGTTTCCTAATTTGGGTGCCTCGTTGTGCCCGAGGTAGGCCTAACGACAAATTAAATTTGGAGAACTTATAATTATAAATGCCTCATTTTATTGATAAAAACAAGACGAGTCTTAAAACAACTGAATAATAAAAATATCACCAATGGCCAGTGGCCTTATTACATTATGAAAGCAGAAAATAAAAGTCCTACTACTTAGTCCCAGAAGGACTTTCCCCAGATTCGGTATTCTTGCCTCCCTCGTACAGCTGCACAAGATCTCGTAATCCTAGTAATAAGTAGGCTCGGGCCAAATGCCCGCCCTTATTTCCCTCGGCATTCTGGCAATCTTCGATCCTCTTCAAGAACTTTCCTTCCAATTCTACTAGACCCCGCTCCAGATACCCTAACCGCGTGTTGGCATTGACAGCTATATCCTTCCATTCGTCGATTAGCTTCTAGTGGTCTTCTTGTATTTCCCGGTGCTCATTTTCACACTCTCGAATTCTCTTGCGCAGTTGATTGTACTTAACCCGTGCTTCAGCTTTCTCGTCGATGATTCTGTGTCCATGAATGAACCCGGGTTGACACATACCATTGTGATTATCTTCCAACCAACCTGAATAGTGCGGCACACAACCGGCATGATACCTTTCTAGCTCAATAGATTCTTTCCCTAAGATGATCTTGCAATGCCACAGGTGCTGAGCTTGGCATTTGTGAGGGCTATCATCGTCCTGGAAATCAGCCTTAAAATGACTCATCTTGACGACCCTTGGTATGATTTGTTTTCTCCCAGCCTGCCTCATGGCCCGGAGGGGAACATAGGAATAAGTTCCCCTTAGACCAATGGGTATGAAAAATGGCGCATCTCGGGATCGAACAATGAACTCTTCCGTAGGGAACCACGCAACCATCTACTATACTTGGTCCTCCTTCAGATTCTCAAATAGCTTTACCCATCCTCCGGCGTCCTCTGGCTGAGCGAACATGTTAGGCATATAGTTCATACGCCTTGGCTGGTGGAAGGCAATGTGATCATCCCAGTCTCTGCAAAGGATCTCCTACCGGTATTCTCCCTTTTGGAGGTGCTCCATGAGCCAAAGTTGAAGTAGTAAATTGCATCCCTCAAAATGACTGGCATTCGCTGACAGTTGTCCAGGGCTCGGTATATCTCCACGATAATCATGGTAACTATGCTGAGACGCTGCCCGCCAATCCCTTCCATCAGAGTGTTAGTTACCATGGCCAGTCTGGTGTGGATCCTAGCCTTCTTCATAGGGAACACTATCATCCCCAGGAAGCAAAACATGAATACGAAGATCGTCCTATGAATATGCCCCAGTGAGGTAAGGGCAAATTCGTCTGATTAAGTGTGGTATGACTTTCTATGGCCATATCTCTCGTACAGATAGTCGAATGGGATGTACGAGTCTTTCAAACATGTCAAGTCTGGGTTCTTCTTCAGTCCCATCATCTTAAGGAAACCCCTACCCTTGCGATTTTCTGGCATAAGCAGACCCAGAGTCTCCTAAGGAATACCAGCTAAACCTCCTATTTCTTCCAGCAAATGAGTCATTTCAAGGTCCCTGAAGTGGAACACGGACCTGTCATTATCCCAGAACAGAGTTGCAGGCTCTATGATTTTGTTGTCAGGCTGGATTTCTAGATGATAGGGCAGATTCCCTAGGTATTTGCAGACGAGTGTCTGATCACTGGAGTGGAGGTCTTCCCACCAATTTAGCAGCCTTTGATGAATGTTGGTTACCATGCCAAATCTGGGGACCTCGTGCCTCATTTTCTGCAAAACAGAGTATTAGACCCTTACCCCACCAGACTCGACTATTTAAACCAATAATTAGCATAGCAAGCATTTAGTTCTCCAAATAAATGCACAGAATATGGTGGTGTCCATTTGGGTTTCAAGGAAACTCAGTGGACTTCGGACAAGCCTATCTTAATGAGTCATTATGTGGACAACATAACTGACTCGGCTAGGTTTGACCATGATGCATGCACAGTTAAATAGAGTAAGGTTTCTATGGGGTATTAGACAGGTACCCTTGAGCGGACAACTCAAGAGGGAAAGGCACGGAACTGTCGACTGCACCGCTGATCGACTGGTTTTACCGCAAATATGCCTTTGCCGAATTTAAAGGGTGATAATATTGGAAGAGCGCAACCACTCATTATAAGCGTTGCTATGGTATTTGTTTGGCACGAGTAAAGTATGATGTTGAAGATGTAGTTTACAAGAATGAAACAAATTGACATGTATTTCCACGTTCATAAGATAAATGATTACAATAATTGCAGTAATTATAACAATATTGAAATAGAGTGGTAAAGGGAAGCAGTTAAAGAAAAAGACATGAAGAGCCAAGTCAGTTTTTGCAGTGAAACAATAAAGGACAATAAATAAATAAATAAATCGATTAATGAAATAATAAAGTCACAAGCAACAGGAAATGGTAAAAGCCTAAAGAAATCTCCAGCAGAGTCGCCACGCTGTCGACGCCCCCTTTTTCTTTCCCTACATTCGGGGTCGAAATTGGGTATACAACATTTGGGAAGGACAACTTTATTCCCTTTCGAGAATTGGGTTTTGGAGTTTGAAGAGTCACCACCTAATGATTATAGTGCATTAGGACACTTTTAGAAGAGTTGAATTGAAGAGACCAAAGATTAGGGTAAGGGCTAGAAATTATCTCGAGGGGAAGGTGTTAGGCACCCCTCAAGATCCACTAGTATGGTTCCCGGCCATGCTACAATTGTGACTTTAAGAAGACAAGTAAGAGAACAAGTAAAGGGCTTCACATAGCTTTGCAAACAAGTTTAAGAGTCGAGGAAGTAGAGAGTTCAGAAAATTAGTCTTTAAAAAAAATTAAAAAGTAAAGGGAAAGGGGGTCCTAGGTTTATTGATAATATGGATCACATCAATGGAATATCCAGCAATCACTCCTCAGAAGAGGGGTCGCACGTGATATTTGTGCACCGGTCATCATATCCATATTCTACCCTTCCCACCTCGTTAAGGTATCTAAGCGCGATTAGTCTCGTTTACTTATTGCATGCTAGTACCCATACCAAACTATCAGTACCGGGGTATTAGGACTTCTAATCCTAAGAGGGAAGAAAGGGATGGGGCCTTTATAGGGTTTCAAGGGATAAAATTCTAATTCGACAATCAAAACAAATATCAAATAAAGGGATGAGTAAACAGGCAAACAAGGCTTAACTAAACCCCTTAAATCAGACAACACTTAGTTTAGCATATCTTAGCATATACTGATTTGGTCTTAAGTTAAAGATTAAGCGGCGAGCGGACTGGTTCAACACATATATTTAGACAGAAAGTCTGCATTAGGCAACTCGGATACAATTGTCAGAGATTAAGGTACTTGATTAACGCGAATTGAGTAACATTACTGACTTTAGAAAATACACTAGTATAGAGGGGTTTTGAATAAAAGGTATGCCGCAGACTTAGAAAAAAAATGGTTTAGAAATGAATTCAAAAGAGAAACAGACTACCGAGTTGTAGTTAAACACAGAAAGAGTAATTTAAAAGTTTCAGAAGAGACAGACTATTTGAAGAAAATAAGTAATTGCAGAACTGGTTTAAAGACGACAAGTTCAGAAAAAGAATGAAACTGAGTTGAAAAACATTTGTCAGATTATTAGAAAGGCAGTAGATTTTAGAAAGAGCATACATTGATTCGAGAAGGTTTATCAAAAGGATTAAGTTTTTAGAAAAGATATACTTATCTAAGAGTGAAGAAAACGGTTGTTTCAATCAATCGTTACTGCTTTTAGACGGGCGAGACGAGTTTGATTTTAAAACTCCTATAGACATGATCTCTACGAGTCATTTGTTTTAAATCCTGTTAACAAACTTGTAAATAGATGCTGATTTGATTAATCCTAAAAGTTTGCCTAATATCGTGAATATGCACATTCCTATAGGCATGATGTTTATATGTCAGATTGCAGAAAGTTGAACGTTGTCTCTTATAGGCATGATTTCTATGGGATTGGATCAGAAACATTGAACAAAAAATAAAAATCCTAAAGCATGGTTTCTATCCTTACTGATGCAAGAAAGTAAAACCCCTCCTACACCCTTTTACTAGATTCCCCGAGTTCGTACAAGTTATTACAGACCAGAAAAAAGATAAAAGTACATCAAAGACTAACAGTTGCATCCGAGGAACCTAATTCAATCTTAATGTCTAATAACATGTTATTAACCAATTCTGAATCCAGATTTCTAAAGCGTTCTCTTTATCTAAGGTATTTCAAAGTTCCAAGGAATTTCAAGGATTCTCGGCATTGATAACACCCAGGATACCATCAAAAGAATAGTGCAGTGTGGAAGCGCCAACCCTCATGCATCCAAGTTTAGTGGGAGCTCAAGGGTCCCAAAGCATGGCTTGCAAGAGGGGGGCAGAACTTATAGCTAGGAGTAAGTACAAAGTGAAAAGGAAATTGGGGAACCATAACAAATGGTGGCCGTTCCTAGCCACAAGTGCAGGCTGGCACACCCCGGCCACTTGTATGGGTTAAACAAGTTAAGAGCAGACCGTTAAAGGTCAGAACATGGTCTGGATAATGATTAGGACACTATAAGACCTAAGTCCAAGGCTCAAGCTCATAAAGGGAAAAAGGGAGAGGGAGTTCACATAAGAAAAGTAGTAGCAAAGTTGCAAAAACATAGTGAAAGAAAGCATAACAGAACATAGAATGTAAACACATTGTGGAGGAGCATTATTTAAATTAAGAGGAACATACCAGTTGCAAATTAAAAACAAGCAGAAC